CCCCAAAACCCCAAAACCCCTAAATGCAAAAAAGAGTATGAAAATAGGTTTTAAAAAAATATTTATAATATATCATCTTTTTTACAATAAAATTTCATTTCAAAAATGAAATAAGATAATAGTTATCAAGATCATATTGGAAATACAATAAACAGTACTTCTTAGCTATAGAATCTCGAAGCAATAAAGAACACACTGAGAAGAAAAGTAATCGATTTGAAGAAATATAAACTTGAAAGTGATAGATTCAAAGTACATAGTCCCATTATGATTTGAAAACTCTAGGAATCTAATCTTCAGTTGCAAAAGTATCAAGCTCTATAATAGAGCATAAGAAATAGTGGGAAGAAGATAATGAATGATTTTAGTCACTCTGCCGTTGATGAAAATTATCAATACTACTAGTAAAGTCAAAGATAAATAAGTTCATCTAGTACTAGCAAGAATTCTATTATTGTTAATCTTCATTAGAAGATTCAGGAATTATCCTAAATGTAGCCATATACTCGCTTCATTAAAGAGCTAGGGACTTCAGTCACAAGAGAAGTAGGAATATCGACAAATGAACTAGATTTTCCTAAATATGATGTGAATCCATAGGCTAGAATTGATTAGAATAGATCTTTGGACTATATTGCTTCTTAAAATACCACTGGACATGAAAGATCGTTTCTGCAAGATTTAGGATTTTAACCTAATAGCTTTCTTCATAAATCAATTGAAAATCAAGGTTAATAAAAACCTATGAGGATTATCGATATTGGAACATAATTTGAGAAAATTGAAGCAAAAAATCAGATTGCTAGATAAAACAGGATTGAGATGTTCCGAAGAGGACACCTAAAAACAAGCAAAAGTTAACTTTCAAATAAGGCCGATTTACCAAAAATAAAAGCTAATTAAGGTAAAAATCAAAACTTAAGGTTCCAAAATATCCCGATAATTTCTGATCAATCGAGCAATTCAATTAATTTAGATATCAAAGTGTCATAGCCTTAACTACTTTCTCAAAATAAAATTAGAATGGTTAAACATAATAGAAAAAACAAGCTAATGAAGCTTTCACTTAAGAATCTTATAAACAATGGAAACTCCATGACAGGTATCTATCATACCAATCCACATACATAGAATTAATCTCCAAACTAAATTAGTCCTAAGTAGAGTTAGGCTAACAGATCATATGAAAATGCTCTTTAAAATTTTTTAACAAGTAATGTCCCCAGTTTTGACTATCAAAAGCTTTTAAGAGCTAGAGAAACTACTCCTGTGCTCACTAAAGAGTTAGGCTAAAAGATATTAAGTTAAATAAACTATTCAAAGTCCTAGTAAAGCAGAGCTAAATATATGAATGACCAAAATTAAGTTATTTAAAGACAAGCTAAATAGATTCCTAGATTAGCTGAGTTACTAGTAGTTAAAGATGAAAAGCTATACAAGTTCTAAGACATTAAAACAAAAATCGATAGGAGATTATCAATGAAAAATAAAGAATCTTTTATAAATAATTATAAAAAGGTGATCAATCGAAGTGCTTACATATAAGATTATCAAGAAGAAATACCTGAAATTCCCTCTAATTAGGATTAGAGATTAAGCAGTAGATACTTTAATGCTCGAGATACTCCATAAATTTATACTACAATAAAGCACCTTAATCACCAAAATGTTTAATATCAAGCAACTTTCAGCATCATAAATGATGAGTCATCCAGATCTTCAATCCTTTAGGATAATTAAAACTCTCAAATTTGAAAGTAATATTCCTTTTTTTATTTTTATGTTCGAATTACTATGCCTTTGGATACCTATAATTCTATACTTTATTTCTTTATTTCACTTAATGAATTTAACTTTTTCTCAAATTTTTAAATTTATTCATTATGGGGTTTTGGGGTTTTGGGGTTTTGGGG